CTGGAAGAAAAACCCTAAATTAATTGGGGTAAAACAAAATTTTTTTCAAAAATCTTACCGTATATAGAGTATCGATAGCTCGTATGAAAGTACATTAAAAGCTGTCCCTAAAAATGATGAACCGAATTAATATACTTTCAATACCCGAAAATTATAATCCTTGGAAGAAAAACCCCTAAATTAATTGGGGTAAAACAAAATTTTTTTCAAAAATCTTACCGTATATAGAGTATCGATAGCTCGTATGAAAGTACATTAAAAGCTGTCCCTAAAAATGATGAACCGAATTAATATACTTTCAATACCCCAAAATTATAATCCCTGGAAGAAAAACCCCTAAATTAATTGGGGTAAAACAAAATTTTTTTCAAAAATCTTACCGTATATAGAGTATCGATAGCTCGTATGAAAGTACATTAAAAGCTGTCCCTAAAAATGATGAACCGAATTAATATACTTTCAATACCCCAAAATTATAATCCTTGGAAGAAAAACCCCTAAATTAATTGGGGTAAAACAAAATTTTTTTCAAAAATCTTACCGTATATAGAGTATCGATAGCTCGTATGAAAGTACATTAAAAGCTGTCCCTAAAAATGATGAACCGAATTAATATACTTTCAATACCCCAAAATTATAATCCTTGGAAGAAAAACCCCTAAATTAATTGGGGTAAAACAAAATTTTTTTCAAAAATCTTACCGTATATAGAGTATCGATAGCTCGTATGAAAGTACATTAAAAGCTGTCCATAAAAATGATGAACCGAATTAATATACTTTCAATACCCCAAAATTATAATCCCTGGAAGAAAACCCCCTAAATTAATTGGGGTAAAACAAAATTTTTTTCAAAAATCTTACCGTATATAGAGTATCGATAGCTCGTATGAAAGTACATTAAAAGTTGTCCCTAAAAATGATGAACCGAATTAATATACTTTCAATACCCCAAAATTATAATCCCTGGAAGAAAAACCCCTAAATTAATTGGGGTAAAACAAAATTTTTTTCAAAAATCTTACCGTATATAGAGTATCAATAGCTCGTATGAAAGTACATTAAAAGTTGTCCCTAAAAATGATGAACCGAATTAATATACTTTCAATACCCCAAAATTATAATCCCTGGAAGAAAAACCCCTAAATTAATTGGGGTAAAACAAAATTTTTTTCAAAAATCTTACCGTATATAGAGTATCGATAGCTCGTATGAAAGTACATTAAAAGCTGTCCCTAAAAATGATGAACCGAATTAATATACTTTCAATACCCCAAAATTATATTCCCTGGAAGAAAAACCCCTAAATTAATTGGGGTAAAACAAAATTTTTTTCAAAAATCTTACCGTATATAGAGTATCGATAGCTCGTATGAAAGTACATTAAAAGTTGTCCCTAAAAATGATGAACCGAATTAATATACTTTCAATACCCCAAAATTATAATCCCTGGAAGAAAAACCCCTAAATTAATTGGGGTAAAACAAAATTTTTTTCAAAAATCTTACCGTATATAGAGTATCGATAGCTCGTATGAAAGTACATTAAAAGCTGTCCCTAAAAATGATGAACCGAATTAATATACTTTCAATACCCCAAAATTATAATCCCTGGAAGAAAAACCCCTAAATTAATTGGGGTAAAACAAAATTTTTTTCAAAAATCTTACCGTATATAGAGTATCGATAGCTCGTATGAAAGTACATTAAAAGTTGTCCCTAAAAATGATGAACCGAATTAATATACTTTCAATACCCCAAAATTATAATCCCTGGAAGAAAAACCCCTAAATTAATTGGGGTAAAACAAAATTTTTTTCAAAAATCTTACCGTATATAGAGTATCGATAGCTCGTATGAAAGTACATTAAAAGCTGTCCCTAAAAATGATGAACCGAATTGATATACTTTCAATACCCCAAAATTATAATCCCTGGAAGAAAAACCCCTAAATTAATTGGGGTAAAACAAAATTTTTTTCAAAAATCTTACCGTATATAGAGTATCGATAGCTCGTATGAAAGTACATTAAAAGTTGTCCCTAAAAATGATGAACCGAATTAATATACTTTCAATACCCCAAAATTATAATCCCTGGAAGAAAAACCCCTAAATTAATTGGGGTAAAACAAAATTTTTTTCAAAAATCTTACCGTATATAGAGTATCGATAGCTCGTATGAAAGTACATTAAAAGTTGTCCCTAAAAATGATGAACCGAATTAATATACTTTCAATACCCCAAAATTATAATCCCTGGAAGAAAAACCCCTAAATTAATTGGGGTAAAACAAAATTTTTTTCAAAAATCTTACCGTATATAGAGTATCGATAGCTCGTATGAAAGTACATTAAAAGCTGTCCCTAAAAATGATGAACCGAATTGATATACTTTCAATACCCCAAAATTATAATCCCTGGAAGATAAACCCCTAAATTAATTGGGGTAAAACAAAATTTTTTTCAAAAATCTTACCGTATATAGAGTATCGATAGCTCGTATGAAAGTACATTAAAAGTTGTCCCTAAAAATGATGAACCGAATTAATATACTTTCAATACCCCAAAATTATAATCCCTGGAAGAAAAACCCCTAAATTAATTGGGGTAAAACAAAATTTTTTTCAAAAATCTTACCGTATATAGAGTATCGATAGCTCGTATGAAAGTACATTAAAAGCTGTCCCTAAAAATGATGAACCGAATTAATATACTTTCAATACCCCAAAATTATAATCCCTGGAAGAAAAACCCCTAAATTAATTGGGGTAAAACAAAATTTTTTTCAAAAATCTTACCGTATATAGAGTATCGATAGCTCGTATGAAAGTACATTAAAAGCTGTCCCTAAAAATGATGAACCGAATTAATATACTTTCAATACCCCAAAATTATAATCCCTGGAAGAAAAACCCCTAAATTAATCGATTCTTGAATTTAATAATCGGGAAATTGATTTGAAAATTATTAAAAATTAAATTTTAATAAAATAAATTGAAAATTAAATAAATTAAATAAAAATAAATTATAATTTAATTCTTCTTAAAGTATTGCTTCTGTTTCAGAATACGGTAACATTGAACATGCAAAAAAATGAAACTGCGCAGGAGCCGGAAATGCCTGAGCTAAAGCAAGGCTAGAACTAAACAGGGTAAGGATGATTCAAATAGAGCATTTAAACTGTTTTAATTTCAGCAATTAAAACGAACTATAAAGGAAAAAGACATGGTAGCTCAGTAATTTTCCAAAATTGAAAAAAATCCAGCTTCTTGGCCTTCCAAGCTTTTCAAAATTTTCGCCTACGCGAAAAACAGAAATAATTTATCTTATTATTCTAAAGCCAGACATAAGAAACTTGAAAATATACTTAGTGTTATAGGCCCGTGTTGGTTCCAGAAAATTTTTTTGTTTAAAATTTTTTAAAATTATTTGTCTTAAAATTATTTTAAACAAGCCAAAACGATATTTACTTTTAGTCAAGAATAATTCAAAAAATGAAAGAAAAGTTTACCCAAAATTTTATAAAAATCAAGGCTTTAAAAACATAATTCTTTAAATAAAACTTTAAAAAGAAAAACTTAAATAATAAAACCCAATCTTTTTAAGATTTAAAAATAGCGTAGATAGGGTTGTCGGTTCTAGGGTTGTAGAACCGATTGTAGAACCCCACGGTTGTAGAACCCCGTCCCCCCACCCCCGTGGCGAAAAAATTGTCCCAGTGGCGCTGCCTCATCAGGGAACAGGCTAATCACTTCTTGAAAAATCGTAAAATAATTTGTGGGTTTCAGTCTTTTTGATTCTCGATTTTTCCTTTAGATTTGATTCTGAACCGACAACCTAAGTGTAAATAAAAATCTTTAAAAAATAAATGCCTTAAAGAATAAATACCAAAAAATTTGAGTTTCTTTAAGAGAAACAACCAAACAATGACAGAAGGATTCAGAAGGGAATTTACTTATAGAGAGGCTTTACTTTTACGGTTAGCTGTTCAAAATAATTACCAAATATCCGAAACTATATCAGGACTTTTCCGATACATGTTACCATCTAATTTGGATAAAATTGCGAAATTTAACCAATGCGTTTAAACCCAATATCGAAAAAGCAAAAGGCGAAAAAGGAAACAAGTTTGGGTGAAGAAGGAATCGGTTAGACTCAATATTGTAAAATCATGTGAACGCAATCCAATGAAAATAATCCTGCCAAAAAATAATCAAATAAAAAATCTCTCTCAAAAAATTCTTGTTACCTTCTGAAAAATTGACTTCATATAATTTTTACATTATATGACAGCCGGGATCACCTTCTTGACACCCAGTTTCACTCCATTGTTGATTCATTTGGTGATTTTGAAAGTGATAATCACTATTACTTGTATAACCACTAGTATAATTGCTGTCATAGTAAACGCCAGGGCTGTTGCCATCATTAGTATCAATTTGTCCGTCATTATAATGCTGCACTTCAACATGATGGTCATAGCTTTCATCTGCATTGGCCGTTGTTCTACTTGTTCTTCTATTATTTGGTTTCTTAAATTGAAGCTTTCACTTCCATATCCATTTAAAGAAGGTACATAGCTACTTCCATAATCTAATACATATGAATAATTAATAATTACACCAACAAAAACAATGTCAACTAGAATTGTCGGTCTCACCAGATTCTTTGGTTAACCGAAAACAAATTGATAACCCAATCCGGAAATCTTGGGGATTTCGGTTCGGTTTGAAACCGACAACCATAGTGTTAACGACATAAGTAGCAGGGTTGAGGTTCATAACGTTTGGCGTCTGGCGTCCATTTTTCCTAAGTGTGGCGCGCCAACCGACAACAAATTTACACCCCTAATGATTGAAATTTTATAAACAAATGGGGATTTAATCTTAAAATTCGAAGGTGCGAGCATATTTGCTCGTACACAGGTATAAGTATTTAGTTTTTTATGATTTTTTAAAAAATTATTTTACAAATTTTAATACAAGCTTCTACCCGATCGAGTACTAGCCGATTCGAAACAAAAAATTAAATTTTAACCTACCAGAACTGGTATCTGTTTCATAGTTTGACCATGGATTAGATGATTGTCCTCCAGTATAATATCCTCCATTTATGTTGTTCACAGGCATAGATGAACTTCTTCGAAATGTTTTGTCTGCACCTCCGTAAGTGTACATTCCTCCAAATTGATCATTCCAATGTTGTTCCCCGTTGTTGTAAAATCCATATCCTGGATGTAAACTTTCGCCAGTCAATCCTGGATGAGACATTCCACCGCTCATCTGGCCGAATTGACCGTTATGATCCCATCCGCCACCAAAAGCTTGATCAATTCCGTGATTCGTTTGAGGAGCTAAATTTAGAAAAACGATGCTTATTTATCATTTTTATTTTACCATGGAAGTCAGGATGACCGTATGAAATGCCATGACTATTTGAACCATGTTCTTGTTCTAAATTATTTTTCAAAGCATTTATTTTAATTTAAAAATAAAATGTTGTAAAATGATATTCGTGTAATCAAAGCATTCAAATCTTACCTCTTTCAACGGGCATAGTTGGAATTTTTTTCAATTTTGGTCGATTTTTTTCTCCCTTCTGAGGCTTGACCGAATTTGTTTGTGGACTTTAAATTAAATAAAAAATAGCCTTTAATCTACTGATAATTTTAATAAACTTAGCTAAGTTAACGTGATTCTAATTTTTAAAAATGTTCATAATAGACTTCAGAATTTTTGGGCAGTATTTCGACCGTATTTTCGGTTGAATGCCGAAAAATGCCATTGTAATACATTACCGACCGTCTCTATTCATGTAATCAAACTAGATCCAAGAGCTTTTATTTTATTGTTTCACATGTTTTTGTTTTCGAGAAAAAAATTAAAACTTATTTAACAATGGCATTTAAACGAGATTAAATTAATCTAATTAACTTACTTTCCATGATTCGTTGGAGGGCTTACTGGCTTGGGAGGCCTACTGCTACTTTTTTTCTTTGTAGTACGTCCGGAGCTGCTGCTTGCCTCATTGAAATCAAGTCTAAAAACTCAAAATTTAATTTATATTTAAACATGGTGAAATGTCGACTCTGTATATATCATGATTCTACACATTATTAAGGGAACAAAAAGTAATTACTGTATCCGAAAGGTTAATTTCCATGGGCAGAAGAGTCGTTGGATTATTACTATATTTTAAACACTATTCCAGTGAATATATAAAAATTGCTGGGTGTTAGGAATCTGCTGGATAGGTCACAAACTTTTTTTAGTCCATTGCTTCGGCCATGCATTTCAAATGCTTGGCTCCGTCGCCGAAATTTCAAAATCTTAGTCGGTTCCGGAGCTACTAGCACTGATTAAAAATACCTTGTTCCTTGTCCACCATGCTTAGACGCATAATTAGATCTCTCTGTTTCACTTCCACTTCCATCCTCATCATTCAAGATCAGATTTTGGAAATTAGTAGAAACACCTGTAGGATGTATCGGAGTTTGATATCCATATTCAGGAACATGGCTTGAGGAAGTACTTTCATTATGCAAATTACTTTCATTATGCGAATTATTTGGAGGCAGATCGACAATTTGCACAAAATTCAAATTTATACTCTCATCTTGTTCTTTCGAAAAATCAAATATGTAGGTAAATCCAAGGCCATTGCCGTTCTTTAAAAGTGTTTTTAGTTTTACTTGTGATTTTAAATACCTGTAGAATTGGATTTTTAATTGTACGGCTCAACGAGGGAAGTTCTATCTTTACATCGTTGAATGGTTGTCGGGACTAAAATGTGATAAATTTAAAAATTTTTTAGAGGTGATTTTAGAGGTGATACAGTATGTATGCATGTTTTAAATTTGGGGATTTTATTATTTATTATATTAAATTTGGGGATTATTATGAAAATATTTTCAGGTTGTTACCAAAATTATAAAAAAAATTTACTCTCTATTTTCCACAAATTCTTTAAAGCATTTTTGACATCTATATATACCCTAAAATGATTAAACAAAAAAATTAAAATTAATATATTCCATACATTTGTCAAGTAAACTTTCTTGTAAAATGGATCTTGTTTATTGTAGGTGCATAGACCACATTTAGCCTTCTAAATAGAACAAAATTTGTGGAAATTATTTTGAAATTTTTATGAAATTTTAATATTTATTTTATTAATATTTTTAAAAATTAAAGATTTAGTAAGCTCACCATATATATGTTAACTTCAAGCTGTGAATCTTTGCTGTTTTTTATGTGCTTTTCTATCGCACTAACATCGTCACTGTCTTTTGTCAACGATTTACTGCTCAGTTTTCGCATTACCTTTTTTGACGTCGAAGATAACTGCTTCATAAATGTGGATTTACAACTCTTTCCGATCAAATCCAGTCGAATTGGTTCATCTCCATAAAACTGTTCACGAGTCAATTCAATCTTTTCTTTGAATATGGAAATGGATGCAAAGTATTTTTTGTACTTGTCATCTATATTTGAAACTGCTTTATCAGTCTTTGTATCAGCATTTATTGTCTGAAATTGTTAAATATATTAATTTTAATAACCACTTCAATTTAGGATAGAATTGCAAAGAGGGACACGCCCAAGTAGGCGCGAGGCCAAGTAGGCGCAAAGCCATAACTAGCTGGAGAATTTCAGACTCTTATCAATTTTGGTACAAATCTCTTTAGCTCGATGAGAGGAATCGTTTGATACTAAATTTGATAAGATTCAAAAATCTTGAAGCAAGTTATGGCTTTGCGCCTACTTGGCCGCGCGCCTACTTGGGCTGTACCCTGGCAAAGAAACCGGGCTTATATTCAAATATATATTGTAAGGAATATAAAGCTAACAATAAAAATTTTATACCAGAATGTCCAGATATAAGCTGTTTCCAACAGGTTTATTGAAATCGTAAAAATTTCCACATTTTGGGTTTCTTGTATTTGGAGAGAGTGTCCATGTTTGCGACTTTAATAGAATTTTAATTAAAAACTGTCAAAATGATTTTAGGAGTACCGTATTTCCTCTAATTGAGTGGTCGCCGCTCTATTTTTCAGTCCCCCGTGAGAACAAAATTAAGAATGAACAAATGAACAATTTTGGGGAGAAATGAATTTCTTAAATAGGGGAGTACACAAAACATAAATTGGGATAAAATGTCATTTATCTATTTAAATTAATTTAAAGTCATTTGAGTCTGGGCGTCACCACACCCCTCTCAGAGGGCCGCTCCATTGGAGACTGCCCGTTCAAATAGAGACTCCGCTCAATTAGAGGAAATATGGAATGTTAAATTTATTAAAAACCCGTATTTGTCCTTCAATTTCAGCAGTCGATGTAACGGAAACTACAATTGTGTTTGGGTTACTTTTGTTCCAAAAACTCTTTGATTTTTTTTCAAGCACAAATGTAATATAATTCGATTGTCCATTAGAGGTTAAGATCTGAAACATTATTATAAATTTATTATTTTTATAAAAATTATATGGTATTTTACTCTACTTCAAAATTTTATGTCTACTTAGCCCTACAATTGTAAAGCATATAGCTATTTAATTCCTAAGGCTGTGGAGTAGGCGGTGTGTTGTAATGGTTGGTCTACTGACGATGCTAGTTGCACATCAGTTCGTCTAATGACGATGCGTTCACTCCCAGCCGCCGAATAAAAATTTGCACTAGCTCAAGGAGAGAAATGGCTATTACCCATCTGCTTTGCTCAATATCGTGATAAACAATCTTAAGCCCAAATTCTTGATGCTGTAATAAATCCCAATCACTGATAATTCCGACGAAGAATTTTACAAATTCATGACTGGAATTAGGAAAATCGATGTCTTCGATTCCATTCCCGCATCCTTTACCATTTATAGACCTATTTAAACCAGACTGGGACACGGATACTGATTTTGGTATCCGTATCCGCATATTTACGGCGGATACAGACGGATATCCGCAGGAATTTTTATAATATTTGTATCCATATCCGTATCCATGTCATAGTCTGATTTAAACTACCACTTAACCGCAGCCCAATTTATATTGCCACCCGTCGCAAACATTTTTTTATTTTGACGGGGAAAGTGGTTCCAACAAACAGTTAATTGGAATATCATGCCACATTGCTCGAACAGCTTCCCCATCCAAAATAATAAATATTTTTGCGGCGGTAAAATGGTTTGGTTATTCGCGGTTTGGTAAAATGGCCTGATCCCCATTATATAAATACATAAAATTACTTGTTCGCGATCAGGCACATTAAAAGCCTCGGATGTTACTTTGACTTTCCATGAATATTCAGCTGGTAACACTTGGACTTTGAAGTCAGATCCAACAACAATTTTAAACATCCATTGGATGACAATACAGAATAAAATTAAAGATAATTTCATTCCGATTGTTCGGAAAGTTTCCGTTTAAGGAGTTGAAAAGTTTTCTGTTTAAGTTAAATTTATTAAAAATTTATTGAAAATTCCTTATAGAATACTAAAATCTTTCAATAGAAATATTTAAATTTTTTAACTCCTATTTAAATTTATAAACGCTCAAGAGGAATAATTTAATTTAAAATATTAAAAATTGTAAAGAGTGTTGAGGAGTTGCCAGTTTTGGACAGCTATTTATTGACAAATATCCTCTAAAAGATTCAAACGCCACACCTCCTTGCGATTGCGTATTATCGCATATTTCTATAGGGGATAGATAGGAAGGGGGATGTTAAGGAGTGGGGGATGTTAGGAGAGAGAGATTTATCCAACACTTTCTAAACTAAAAAATCTATAAATCAGTTGCTATGTGTAGAGTGTCAGTGAGAGGGGACTTATGGCAATTGATCGTTTAGGGACACGCCAAAACGTCGCGCGGCCATTGAAACAAGCAAAGCCATAACTTGTTTCAAGATTTCCTGATCTTACCAAATTTAGTATCAAACGATTCCTTTCGTCGAGCTAGAGAGATTGGTACCAAAATTAACAAGTTCCAGAAATTTTTCAGTAAGTTATGGCTTTGCGCCGTTATTGCTACGCGCCGTTTTGGGCTGTACCAGATCGCAGCGATGCTCGTAAGAATAATTACAGGAGCTTAAATCTCTATTTTTCTTAAATCTCTCTAACTCTCACATTAGTAGATGTAAATTCAAATCTCTATAATATATTGATGGAAAGTCATTTGAATGAGAATCAATCATTAGATTGTTTAAAGTCAGGGAGAGAGCTCGTAAATTTCAATGAGAGCTCGTCCAAGGGAGAGAGATGTCCAGAGCTCGTGAATTTTAGCTCGTGCCCAGCATCTTGAATACACGTTTATCTCCGTTTTTCTTTAATTCTCTCAAACTCTCACATTCATTAGATGTAAAATTAAATCTCTATTAAATATTGATGGAAAGTCATTTGATTGAGCATTTCATTAAATTGAATGAAGAGAGGGAGAGCATGCGTCTAAAGCTCGT